ATGCTCTGTCTCCAGGGGAAGGGAGTACCTCCCTGGGATGGGTGTCATGATTTAAGGACATGTTTTCCTTTTTTTTTTTTTAAGACCTATTTATTGGGGCACCTGGGTGGTGGCTCAGTTGGTTGGGCATCTGCCTTTGGCTCAGGTCATGATCCTGGGGATCCCGGGATCGAGCCCTGTGTCTGGCCCTGTGCGGAGCCGGCTTCTCCCTCCCCCTCTGCCCCTTCCCCCATTCGTTCCCTCTCTCTCTCTCTCTCATGCTCTCTATTTCTCTCTCAAATAAATAAATGAAATCTTAAAAAAAAAAAAGATCTATTTACTTGAGAGAGAGAACGATGTCGTTGCAGGCTTGTGAGAGAGGGGGTGGGGTTGGGGGGTGCAGAGGGGGAGCCAAATCAAGAGTCCACCCTCAACTGACTGAGCCCCCCAGGTGCCCCTTAAGGACATGTTTTAAAATCACCTCCCCCTCTCATTCCACCCACGGCCCCTCCCCCTAGGCTGCCCCAGGGCCTTGGCACTGGCTGTCCCCGCCGCAGCAGCCATCCGCATACTGTTGCCACGTGTCTGACAAGTAAGAGTCACTGTGGCTGCCGTGACGGTGACCACACGCTCACGGGCAGAAACACCTTCAGTCTCACTCCGGAGGCCAGCAGCTGAGGTCAGCTCTGCAGGGGTGAGAGCAGGTGGGGCAGGGCTGGCCCCCCCCAGGGCTCAGGGCTTCCAGCTTCGAGGGGCCTGCATCCCCCGGGCTCCTGGCTGCACCACTCTGGCCGCGGCTTCCCTTGTCACATGACCTGCTCCCCGGCTCTGAGCCTTCCCCTCCCTTCTGTAAGGACTCTGGTGATGACACTGGGCCCACCAGGCCATCCAGGACAATCCCATCCCAAGATCTTGGCCTTGATCACAGCTGCAAAGCCCCTTTTGCCACATAAGGAACCACGCTCTCGGGTTCCGGGGGCTGGGATGGGGCATTTCTGGGCCACTGTTCCACACTTTGCCTACATGATTCGTGTCCCCCCGACCCAGGGCGGCAGCCCCACAAGGGCAGGGGCTCAGGCCCGAGCCCCACCACCCTGCTAGAGTGAAGGCATGGGGCCTGGTCTAAGGGCGCCACCTCCCCTCGAAACCCTGGTCTTGGAGAAGGGACCCTACTTGAGTAAGTCAACCTTCTGCATCCAATACACATACTTAACATTTCTCTTGTTCTCATTTTTATTGATTTTCAGTTACACAAGCGAGCCAGACATAGCTGCTCCTAGTAGGAGTGTTAGTAAAGCAGGCTTTGTCCCCCCATACAGAGCCCAGTGCCCACCATCCTCACCCAGCCTCACCCGTCCTCGCCCGGTCCCTCGAGCAGACCCCAAGCAGAGGATCCCAGGGACAGAGAACACCCCCCCCCGGGGGACCTAGGGATGGGAAGGTGTCAGAGCTGGTTTCCCCGGAGGGTGCAGATCACGTGCAAGGGCCCGGAGCATCTCTCCTGCGCCAGTCATGAGCCTGGGCTGTGCAGGGCCTGGGACGGAGAGTGCTAGGGGCAGGCAGCAGGACGAAGTGCCCAGGGGAGGACATGAGCTCAGACCTGGGGCTGCTCCCTGCCCTCCCGCCTGGAGTCCTCATCACGTGCTGTAGTGGGTTCCCTCCAGAACTTTCCCTCTGCATTTACACACACACACAGAGCCCAGGAAAGCTGCAGCCCCCGGCCATCCAGCTCAGTGAGCCCAAGCCACCATCTCAGGATTGTCCCTCCTTGCAGGACGTGGGCCGTGGGGCCGGCCCTGAGCAGGTTGTGTGGCCGGGAGATGGTAAGGAGGGATGGGCCCATCCTGGCTTCTATGCTCCAGATGGTGGGGGTCCGCATCCCAAACCCCTGGGCTGACAGGGTCAAAGGGGAACTTTCTAAAGGAAGTTGGAGGTGCTGACGCCAGAGAAAGGGAGATGGATGCAGGCAAGGCTGGATCAAGGGCTCAGAAGAATGATATAGTTAGACATGTTTGTTGTTTTGTGGGGGTTTTCTGATTTCTTTTCCCACAATTTGTTTTTTTCACTCAACAAGGTGTATGAGCGGTTCCCCTGGTGCCCCCAGATCTAGTCCTTTCTTTCTAACTTCCAGGTAGTGTTCTGTCTTCTGGGTGTGTCTGTCCAGGGCACCTCCTGGGTCTCAGAAGAGACAGCTGTCTCTCTAGTGGGACGCACCCCCGCCCCAGGAATCACAACTCTGAGGGCAGCGCCCTCACCCACGTCCTGGGCCACAGCCCGCACAACTGACCAGACACGTGGCCCTGCTTTAGTGGGTCAGCCCTGCATGCACATGTAGGCAGCCTCTGACGGTAAACTAGTGCATCCTGCCTTCACCTTCTTGTGCAAAGATGGGAGTGTTTTTCTAGGGCAGACACCAAGAACGCTAGCCATAGAAAATGTACTTTTAAAATTTTAATAGCTGTTCCCTGATGGCCTTCCAGTAAGTCTGTACCAGCTGGCACCCCACCCCCACCCCGTGGCACCAAAGCCCCCACTTCCCACACCCTAGGCACATGATGATGTATCACTTTTCCAACATCGCCCATCTGATGGTGAAAAGTGGCCTCTCATCGGTGCTTGGATTCTGTCCACGTTCAAACACCAGAATTCAGTGGCAGGCTCAAAGAGAAAGCAGCAGCTGGTGTGTAGTGGCCCCCGGCATGAAGGGACATGCCTCCCCCCCAAGTATGTCCTAGCCCAGCATCCTAGGTGCTCGCCATGGTCTCCAGCCACTGTCTGGACCCACCTGAGGTCCACGCTTATGTTTGTGCACCTGAGGCCACTGTCACAGCTACCTCTCTCTTCACCACCATCTGGAATGAGTCCCCCCACAGAATCCTGCTCCAAACCCTCAAATGCAGGAAGAACTCTGACACAGGGATGGACTGCTCTGGCCTCTCTTCTGAGCTCCTTGGTCCGGCCCTGCCTGCCATCCATCTCCCTTACTCTGACTTCAGCACCTCCAGTTTCCTTTAGAAAACCCCCTCCTTCCCATGGTCTACGCAGGCAGGTCAGCTCATTTCCATCCCTTGGCCACATGGTTGGCTCAGGGACAAACACATAATCCACATCATCCGATGAAAGACGGCCCTGGGGCACCTGGGTGGCTCAGTTGGTTAAGCGACTGCCTTCCGCTCAGGTCATGATCCTGGAGTCCCGGGATTGAGTCCCGCATCGGGCTCCCTGCTCGGCGGGGAGCCTGCTTCTCCCTCTGACCCTTCCCCCTCTCATGTGCTCTCTCTCTCTCATTCT